GGGGGGCTGGGCAGGATAGAAAATCTAAACAAGCAGGCCCGGCCTTTTCATGTAACAGAATGGCACCCATGTGGATAACTGCATCCACAGAAAGCCTGAGAAAGCTTGGGAAAGACCAGAGTAAAGCATTTCAGTTTTCAGCTGAAGCAGGAAAAAAAGCTGCACTGTTTTAAAATGCTGGCTTTCTGGGCTGTCTGGCCAGGGAAAACTCTGACTCTTTCAAGCAGGCCATCCTGACTATGGAAACATTGTTGCAGCTTGCTTCCTGGCAAGGACCTTGAAATGCCATAGGAGCTTTTGAATGTTGCCTTTTCCATATTCCTTAGCAAGTTAAAGACCCATGTGGTCAGAAAAAGAGAGATATACAGTAAAGAGAGATTCAAAGAGTAAAAAACCTCTAAATGATTTACAGTGTGTTAAAAATATATGCAGGCTTGAAAAAAAATGTTTAAAGCCTTAAAATAAAAAAGAAAGAAAGAGAATAGTTGGGTGTGGTGGTACACACCTTTAATCCCAGCACTGGGGAGGCAGAGACAGACAGATCTCTGGGAGTTCAAGGATAGCCTGGTCTACAGAGGGAGATACAGGACAAAGATATGCAGAGAACCTGTCTCAAAAAGCCAAAAGTTAAAAGTAAAAATAAAAGAAATAGAGGTTAAAATAAAGTCATGTAAAGATGGAAAATACACTGGGAATCTTGATACTGTATGCTATTATGCTCTCTTTGAATTGTTTAAATGCTGAGGAAGGAGCAACAACTGCTAAAAGATATTTGCTTACAAATGCTGCAGAATTAATCCAAGATAGGTATTTTGAAAATACCTTGGCTTCAAAATTGAAGTCAAAAGGTATGTTACTTTGGAGAAGAGATTTTGTTTTTGTTTCCACAGAAAATTAGAGGCTCTGGATTTATTCAGAGTTAAGAAAAATCATCTTTGACCAAGGGAGACCATCTGAGCAATCTCCGGTAGGAACAGATGGCCCAGATGTCTGAGTTCTTCATCCAGAACAGATTCAAGACTGCTGCCTGAGATGGTCAAGACTCACAGGATACTTTAGTCAGGACTTGATCATAACTCTAAATTTTCTTTAGGTCCCCATAAGATTATCAGTCCCCCCAACCAGCAGGAAGTAGCCTGGAATACTAAGCCCACATTCCCAAAAAATGGATTATGGATATTTTCCTTTGTTTTTTTAAAAAACGAGGGGGAAGTGGTACGGGAGAATTGTCTGTACTCTGTCAATCATGTTTTAAATAAACGCTGATTGGCCAGGCAGGAGGTGTAGGTGCGAAACCCAGACAGGAAGTGGAAATGATGCAAGGAGATCAGGAGGAATTCTAGGGAGGAGGAAGTTGATTCCTCCCACTCCTGCCCAGACCACCGAAGCAGCAGGATGTGAGCTGCCCCACTGAAAAAGGTACTGAGCCACATGACTAACATAGATCAGAAAAATGGGCTAATCAAGATGTGAGAGTTAGCCAGTAAGAAGTCTGACCTAATGGGCCAATCAGCATTATAACTTACAGAGATCTCAGTGTGATTTTTCTCTGGGACTAAACAGCTGGGGGGCTGGGCAGGATAGAAAATCTAAACAAGCAGACCCGGCCTTCTTATGTTACAGATTATGTATATTATTGTGTTTTCTTTGAATTTTTTGACTGTTAATGAGCTAACTGCAGAGAGACATTTGATTCTGGGGACTGTTAAGATAAACTAACATATATGTTTTAAAGGTATCTTGACTTCAAAATTTGAATCTAAGGATATGTTAGTTTGGAAAAGAGTTTCTGCTTTTGTTTCCAGAGAAGATGAGAACCTGTGAACTTCTTCCTGGGTAATGTGGTTTGATGGAACGAGTGCCACTGAAAGGTTGCCATGAACCCTTAAAACACTTCAGCCAACAAACAGCAGGAAACAGAAAACTACGCCCAAATTCTCAAAATGATTGTTTACAAATATTTATTTTCATTTAAAGGGGTTTAATTTACTACTTAATTACTTAATTAAATTTTATTTAATTAAGTTACTAATGATCACAGTCAATTTTTTTATAAAAGAAAAGGGAGGCTATGACATAGAGTTAAATACATTCTTGTAGATCTTGGTCTATTGAAA